GTGACATCTTCGACAAAAAAAAAAACTAAAAAACCAAGGGTAATTTTTAGCGATTTCAATTTTGCACTTTATTCTACTAGAATTCAATGATATGAAGTAGCTCAGAATCTTTCTAGAAAATCGAATTAAAAAAGCCAGAAATTTTTACGAACGTTTGTCGATTTCTTTTTAAATATCGCATAATGTATGAAGCTTGGATTTACACGGGTTTTGTTAAAAAATTAACTATAATTTTATAAAAAAAATAGCCAAAATTAAATAACAACAAAAATCATATGTTAAAACTTGTCAAAATGTGGTGCGGCTATAATTATTTCGTTCACTGTACATTATTACATACATATGTATGTAGGCAATTATACACGCTTTCACTTGCTTAAGTACAGTATTTATCAACGTTATAAATACGTATGCATGTACCTGCCTGGAATGCAACAAACACAAAAGAGGCTTAAATGTGTAAGAAAGTGGAAATTTTTAATTGCTGCTTAAAGGCAATGGGCAAGAAAAGCACACTGGGTGAAAAGAAAAGCGTTGTGAATATAATATAAAGGGGAAATCGGCGAAATAGTAAACTTATGCAAATGAGGGTTAACCATACAAGCGCAAGCTCATATGTATACTCGCATTAATGGCGCTGCAAGTGGCTGAGTAACATAAGTATGTATAGAAATATATGCGCGATATTTGCGAGTAAGTTTGGTGAGCAGCTTGGGGAGCGATTCGCGCTATGCTCCAAGCATGCACTTGAACATTAACTTTCACACTTCTAGACTTCAATGAAAGTTTTCCTACAAACTTACACATGTATACATTCTTCGCTTGTTTTTTGCATAAGCGTTTGCCTGACGGTAAGCGATATTCATTTGTGCGCACATAGACAAGTAGGTATGTACGTATGTACGTACATTTGTTTGCCGCCTTCAAACCATTACGGCCTTAAGGTATTAAAACTTTGCTTGATATACGCCAAATGGATAAATACAGCGTATATAACCAACCACTTTCGGCGTTCAACCGAAATTTCCATGGAAGTGAAATTTGGCTTTAAATATTTTAAGATTTCCAAAATTGTGTATGCGCGCGTTGGTTTGATCTGAATAAAAGCGCGTAGGTAGTTTGGAAATTTAAGATTAATTTTTAATTAGGTTGACTTTAATTTAATTAACTATGTACTTAAATAAAAATTCTCCTGAGATTATGCATTATTATTATATTATAACACAACTGTGAGGTAAATTCAATTCGCGGATGGAATGTTAATCCCAAATATCTCTGAAACTAATTATGGCTAATGGAAAAATTTAAAGGCCAGATTCTTAATCTATGGAAAAAATTATATAGGAATCAGTTGTCAAAAGTTCTGCCGCGAAATTATGTTGGCTAGTTTTATGAGTCAGTCATAGTTTAAACCTTGATTGCCGGCATATACCCGTCCAGTGAACAAACGCATTCAAAAAACCTCAGTTTTAGTTACTAATGTGTTTTAGTGTCCAAAGCCTTTCGTCTAGTCACAGTCTATATTCACTACAAACAACGCTTAGACAGGTGGCAACCCTGTCCAAGAATAAATATACGCGGCTTAAAGCTTCCTGAAATCCCTTTTATTTGATGCCTACATATATTATAATATTTTACTGCATTTGCATGTATGTGAAACTAATTTTCTAATTCCGCATAACATTTTTTAATTAAATAAATTTTGTCTCTACCAAACAATTTCCTTAAATTTCAAAAAAAAAAAATCAATTTTTTACCAAGAAAAAGTAGCGTTTCGTGTAGTTACATTAAGAGATAGCATTAGTTAGCATTTTTTCCTGCGCCATTGGCAATGAACCATGTGCCACTGATGTCAAAATAATTGCACTCGCATCAATTTCCTCTATGTCAAGTTGTTGGTGGCAAATTTCCACACCCATAAACCAATTTGACAAATCACTCCCAGTTGTAAA